TTACAATACGAAAATGCCTAAGTAGTGCATATAAAAAAATATTTTGAATTTTATAAGACAACTAACATGTTTAAGTTTCATGGAAAAATGTTGTGCTACTAAAACTTTTTCATGGTGGACCTTGCTAAATTTTTGTATCTCTTTTATTTCTACATAGAAATGCAAGGATGCAGTTACATTCGTATACCAATTCAAGTATATATGCATGCATATGTGCATCCTCAATGCATAAGCATGTATGTGTGTTATTGTCCTTTTGGCAACATTTTTCGGTAGCATATTTCATATTTTATATTTAAACATGTCAAAAATTCCTAAAGGATTTTTTGCACATAAGTTAAAAAACAAATAAATAGATGTATGCAGAAGTCGAGTTACATCAGGAACCAATTCCTGAATATATACATACGTTTTGCATATATAAGAAACGTTCTCACCCACACTTACACATACGAGTATATTTTGTTATTAAATAACTACAAAATTAACCTTTTGAAAATACTTGCAGTGCAAACTAAAAATACAGAAAGGCAGTGAAGCAAAATAACAGGGCCAAGTCAAGCGTTATGAAGAAAGAAAGTAAGTTTTATGCTATGTTACATGCGCCAACAAGAGCAATCAGCACATTTTTCAGGCAGTTGCGTAAAATTGCTCCAAGGAATTTAATTTTTTTCTCTTGTAACCAAACAAAAATACTTAACTATTTAAAATTTTTTAACTAAAAAGCATAATGAATTATTTGTTTATGTGAAGGCTAAGATGCGCCAGTTTTTCTACATTGTAAACGAAGATAAAATAACAAAATATACTTTACTTTTCAGTGAAAGTTCCATTACTAAAACATTTTTAAAAATTCTTGTAATTAGTATGTTTATATATATATACAATATCACTGTATATGAATGCATCTATTATCTAGTAACACACATAAATTTTTGGGTGCCCCATTCTTTAATTCACTTCAACATTGATATTGGCGAGATACCTATATTTATCAATTATACAGCTGATTCTAATATATCTAACTTCCCACCTATAACTATTTTCCAGTTACTTTCTTAGCTAATTGAATGCTCCTCACGAATGCTCCCATAAGCTGCTGTTACTTTATGATCTCTTATATGCTTGAATCTTGTTAATAATTACAAAGAAATGCTATTATGAGGATAAGATATCCTTAAAAATCCACTTAAATTTTTTTTAAGCAAAACGAACTATATTATGATGTATTGCAGGATTTCAGAATCAAATCAATCAAGGAAGTTAACCTTAATATTACGGTTATTTTAATATTATTCCACAATATTCTTGTACCATATTTTCAAGTGTTAATAGCCTATATTTCACCAACTACAATCTCTATAAACCGCTATAGTTTCTGTAGAAAGCAACCGATTAGATATAAGTATTGCACCAGTTGGCAACACAGTGACTTCGTAGCTTCTGCAATAGCAGTAAATTTTACTTTTTCTAATACTCTACTCTACATTACTTATCCTAGTGCTTCAGTGATTGATATATAGTATCACTGATTATATTTTTAATATATAAATATATATCATTAAATTTAATCAATAAAAAAATATTTAATAAAACTATAATATTTTTAAAATTTATTTCAAATTTTTGATATAGCCTTTAGTGTGAATTATGGATTTTTTAATAATTTAGATTCTTCATCCATTCAAAAAGAAGGGCTTTGTTATCCAATCAACACTGATATAGTTTACAATAACCCGATGCCTAATATATTACCCATGTTAAGAATTTATTGTTCAATCAATATGAAGTGTGGAAAGTTGTCTCTCACCTAACGAAATACTTGGTTACCTGTGGCTATTAGAGAATAGGAGTTCCAAAGCTTTTTCGTTTGTAATACGGTTGTCATTTGCAATACCTTGATACCGTGATCTAAACACATCAACAAAGAACAACCATCGATCATCACGGTCACCGAAACCATTAGGTTGTCTAGTGACTTCTAGAGTGCAATTAACGGATTAAATTTTATTTTTTTCCTATTATTTTATAAATAATTGGCTGCATTTATGAAACTGCAACAGATATTCAGCTCTTTTGACATATTTTGCATTAAATATGTGGGTATACTATTAGGTAATTTTAAAATATTTATATTTATTGCATAATTGTTTTCAATAATATTACTAGAGGAGTGGACTTTTGTCTTCAAGTAGCACTGATTTCGTTCAATTTAAATATTAGTCGGGAAACTGCAGTCGCCAGAAGAGTTCTTTAATTTTGGAGCAAATGTAATTTCTTTTGTGCATCAGCACAGCATTTTTTATAATGGTCTATAGTTTCAGATTTATTCATATTGAGAGGTATTTGTGCTTTCGCACAAACATAACACTTTTACACAATTATGTGCAATTTTAACCATTTTTTCTTAATGTAACTTAATATCTTTATGAAGACTACATACTTGACATTTCTATCTGCTATAGTAGCCAGCTATTAGTGAAACGTGCTTTAAGCATTATACATACGTAGAGATAAGAATGATAATCTCCTTTTTTAATCATACTTGGGTATATGATGCAATTTTTTAAAAAAGTTTTAAATAAATTAAAACACAGGATAAAATATTATATTAAGTCATTTTACTTTATCAATATTTTAAAGGACTGTTTTTGAAAAAATAAATAAATAAATGTTTTCTTCAAAATTTTTATAGAATTATAACATATATATCATTTTGATATTGAAACCTTTAAGTTAATATAACGTTCTGTTCAACCCATTTTCTGCAATTTTATAAATAAACATTAAAATAAATTTAAATTTATATGTTTTTGTGTAACAAAAATTTCTTGAATTTGAGATAGAAATAATTAGATATAAATATTTAATTGTAATAATTAATATTATAACTATTAGTTATTTAAATAAAAGAACGAATAGTGGATGAGTGGTCCAATAATGCAATTTATTTCTTATATATTATAATTTGAATAAGACATTGTAAATTTGTATATACTTATTAATTTCTTTCCAAAATCTGTTTTTTAGTTCCAACAAAAGGCTCATAATTAGAGATAATACACACAAATATTGTTGTGAGCATAAAATCCTAGCCAACTTAACAGCACTTCCGTCGTGTCCAAAAAGATATTGTAAGGAACACTAATATCTAAGAAAAGCGTTCATATTGTGAAATGCGTTCCTGTAATCGTGTAAAAAACCGCTTAGCATAGTTGCAGGATTGAATTGGAATTTTTTGTGTCTTGGCTTGAAACAACAGGAACTGGTCATTTATCATCTTATGGCATCTATGGTTTTGGGGTAGGGATTTAACCAACTCTACAGCAGCATTGTGATAGAACTTAACGCATTGTTGTGCGCTTGATTTGCATTGATTATCAGCTTCGAGTTCAGCCAGATAATAGATGGACTCAGCTTTTAGTATAAACAACTCCATTTTGTATTGGTTATTTACTGGGTTCGGCATCAAATACTCGTCTATTAAGTGTATTATTTCTTCAGTGAATTTTTTCACTTCTTCATAAATTACATCCTGTATTGGTGCCATCTGCTTAGAATCAGTTATAACATTCCTTTTTCTCACAGTTAATCGTTGAGACAATCTATGTTTAATCAAACCATCTCTGCAAGTATTTTTAAATATTTTAAGGCTAACATCATCTAGTCCTGAATAAACGGTACACATTTTTCTAACGTACTGCATCATTTTAGCATATCTGCCTTTGTTGTGTGCCCTTTTTATTTTGTTTACCAATTCAGTTTTGCTTTCCATTTTGAAAATTATGTAAACGAAAATAAATCTAAATTTGCTTCAAATAATTTTGAAATTTCTTAAAAAAATTTATTTGCATTTAAATTACAAAAAATTATGAGGGAGGTAACTAGATCGTATTTTTTAAAAAAGAACATTAATTATTAAAAACAAGAACATTAATTAAAAAAAAGAACATTAATTTCATTAATTTCAATAAAAACAATTAAAAAATTTATTTAAAAACAAGTTAAAACGGTTAACGGTCACTGTTAAATATTATGTTACGGTTAAGCATATTTAACTAAATTTAAAAATCTTAAACGTATCACTTGATATATTTAATTTAAACTGAAAATTTAAAGGTTTTAATCCTATCATTCCGTATTTTATTTACTTTATATGAGTTACCTTTCGAAGTTTTTTAAATATAATTTACTTTCATCATAAATCCACCTTTTTTAATGTACAATATTTAAATTAAAACTGAATTTTGTTTGGAAAAAACAACTTAATTAAACTTAATTAAAACTCTTAAAATGAAATTAAGATCTTTGCGAAATTAAGGTATGTCTAAACATAGAACTATACTTATTTTATTGCTATTCTTACTTATTTCTTATTAAATATCAAATTTAATATCATTTCCTACTGGAACTTTCTATGTTTTGATTTAACCCAGACCATAAACAATTTAGATACTAAACCTTCATATATATGTTGCTTTCATAAATTTATCTTCTAAATGAATTCTTGATTATTACTCATATTATAAATAATTCACACTTTGGATATCACACTCAAACTTTCACCCTAAATACGTATACACTTGAGTATTCGACAACCCATTTGCATGAGAATTTGAATAAATAATTCCCAATAAAATAATAATAATTGAAACAAAAAGCAACAAGTCATCACATCTACAATACCTCGGAGACAGTTTTTATGCTTCAGTGGTAAAATAAAATTGCATTCAGGCGCAAATATCATAGTTGATTAAAATTCATCTAATGAAACCAACAAACATATCCTTTTCAATAACAGGATACAAACATATGTTTCAGAAATTTTTTATTTATTTATTAATATTTTTTATTGCATGTATGTTAGGTCTTGAAGCCAATATATACTGTGTTGAAGTCACATTGTGCTGCAAATGTATGCTCCTAACAGATTATCTATGACAAGATATGTTACATGGGCTGCACACTGAGGTAACCGGACAGTTGGATTTATTTATCACATCCAGTAAAGCCGCAATACCACATGCAAGCATGACGTATGCATGCATGTAGGCATACGAAAAGCTGTCATGCAGTTGAAGCATTAAATTCACACATAATAACCAATTGAAAATTTATCCGAATCACACAAGCCACAGTGCAATTGGCAAAAACATCAAAAATATTTCATTTTCAGAATATGCAACAGTAAATTCTATAAATTCAAATATTATTTCATTTAAAAGTAATAAGTATAAATGACAAATAATTTGTAAAACTGTCACTTCAACTGTCATTCAGTTTGACATGCACTTATGCCAGCAATTTGTAAGCTCCATACACAATCACTATTCGAGCACGATGTGCTACGCTTTTCTAAATGCAACTGCAGTTGCAATTCATACAATTTTCTACAATAAAAATGCATTTAACTAAAACAGCAACAAGTTTTTGTGTTGACTCTGGTGTTTGAGTGAATGTGTTAAATATAAAATTTTATTGTAATATTTCCCCATTTTTTAACATATTTTTTTTTAGCATTTTAATTCGAACGTTGTACGAATAATGTTGACAAATTTAATGTAACGTTTTTGTACGTTACACATAAAATTTGACCCCATCCAACACGTCAGGCAGACAGATATGCGCTTATCCGAAATGTGTAGTAATGGCAACAATATACGGAATTGTATGTATATACACACTGCAGCACATAAAATAAAGGCTTCTTCACATTATAATAATTTTAAAAATTAATTAATATTAATACATTAACAGATTGTTTGATTAATGTATAAATATCCTTATATATATTATTCACAATATTAAAAAAAATATTCTTTTTATTAGCTTTTTCAATGGACAGTGTCTAAATCATAGACAGTAACATAAGATCAAAAATCAATGTGTTTAAACTCAATTAAAACATTTTTACTTTATATTTTTCGTGATCTCTTCTGTTTCCGTATTTCCATATCTTCTATTTCATTTCAACATAGACTAACGCAACTTTTTTCGTCGCTTCCCAAATTATAATTCTGCTACTGACATTTATATTAATGTCCTTATTAGAACCAGTCTTATTATATTACTCTCTTTATCTTCACGGTATAATATATATATTTGAACTAAACACTAGTTTTCTAAACAAGGTGGAAATAAAAAAATAGCTGTATATTTAAAATCAGAACTTTGTTCAGACTACATATTTGTAATAACAAAAATGAGTTGATTTTCATTATAATATGAATATTGGAATATTACAATGGATAAAAAAAATAAATAGTTAACTAAGTGTTGAATATTCAACATTTCCATTCATTTTAAGAAAAGCTTTACTTATATTGAAACTAAAAACACGTGTAACACGTATCTCGTGCTTATATTTTATTAGTCCGAAGTCATTACTTTGTAATCCTTCAATATGCACTAAATTATTAAATAAGTAAGATTATATTTAAGTAGGAAATCGCATCAGACGCCATGACTCATAGGTCACTCATTACACCTTTGTAGAAAAGTCATTAAGAATATAATTCAAATTATAATTAAATTTTAGGTGAAACTCTACACTAAATGGCCACTTTAGGATCATCATACCACAGTTTCAATGGCAAACTAAAACTAAAATTGGTTGGATATGATCTACCAAGCATACGTAAATCTTCTAGACTGTGATCAGCTTACACATTTTTCTTCGATTTTTTTTTAAATCTTTGCTGGGATTTTTGGATGGAAACATAGGGGGTCTTCAAAATTTAAGTAATTATACCGAAAATTAAAACCATTTGGAAAGATTATATTGCAGGTACCGGTAAAATTGAAAATCGAAAAGATCTAGAGTATCATCAGCCATACCATAGATCGCGATGGAAACTATGGTTCGGTTTAAAAACCAAATCTTACTAAACTTCACCAAATCAAATCTCTGCATCAACATCCAAATATACCAAGCTTATCATAAAATACGTAATTTATTTAATAATACATTCAAAGCTGTATATAGGGCTATAGTAACTCTGGAGTCTTACCACATTAAAATATAATAGTACTTATTGTTACTATATAATAGTTACTTATTGTTTATATTTGATTAAACTAGCTGCCTGAAAATAATAAATTTGATAACTCAGTTGTAGTTTCTTACTTTCTAAATTCCAAGCTAGTTTAGTTAACCTAGCAGTTCTTTGGTTGTCTAAAAGAACAAATTGAAGACGATAAAGATACTTTATTTATAGAGATATCAATTTATAGGCTTAGTTGTTGGTCTTTAAACTGAATGCTTTTGGAATGTACAGGGTTAATATTGCATCATGTGTTAATCATAACATCATATACACGTGCTATAGATATTTTATTTAAGTTTTTAATTAAGAACCTGAAACTAGAAACAATTAATGCACATTGATTAACAAATTAATTTTTTTAGATAACTTTACGGCAAGTTTTATTGAAAATAGGCCATGTTGTTATACACATCTTGAAGTTAAACTATTATTTAATATAATTACACCTAACATTGTAAACATTTTATTACACCAAGTATAAAAGCTAGTTAAGTCCATCAATGCGATCTAACTTGAATCTTTAAAATTAAAATGACAATTAAAATTTATAATTGAGACCTGCCAGTATGCTCTCGCACAATCCACCCTTCTATATATAATTTATAAATATGGTAGTTATTCAGTAACAAATAGCTTCAATTCAAATAGTGTACATTTATTTCTGTAAAGTAGTGTAGGGTATCGATATCAATGTATACATGAGTACATATGATTTATATGGTGTACTCGTAGTAATGTACATTTTACATTACTTTGACACGTAAAAAAATTCATGTTCAAGTTGAAAATAAATTCACATTATAACTTTTATAAAATCAAAATTGATCCACAATTCTGCAATACACATTATGTATGCATTCCAGTGCTGTGAGCAATTTAAAATTCATTGAACATAATTTTTTATTTTTGATCTCGTTTTAGTACAATATATTAAATTTATAGTTTTAAAAATTTGAATCAATTTTAAAGTTAAAAAACTAAGCTTAAAAACTAAAATAATTTTAATTTTTACTCGACTCTGCTTTCTGTTATATAGACACACAACCAGCATATCATCAATCACAAATTTAATTTTTAAGATAAAAGTATCCCGTCACTGATGGAGACGGGACTAGTTGACATTTGATATGTTATTTAAAAAAAAAAATTAATCGATATAATCTGCGGTTAATGGCTGATTTCGATTAACCACCATGTTACTAGAAACTTATTTTTTAATGACCTTTACTTCGCAGATATTACTCACGAGCTCTGCCATGGGGTATACAATTATGACTAAAATTTGTTTTATCATTTTAAACTTTTCGATAAAGTTTTACAAATGCGCCAAACAAAACTCAATGAGAGTTGTATGATGCTAATTTTTCTATAGCACGAACATACATCATATTAAATTTCGATATTATATTAAGTTCAATTTTACGACAGTTGTAAATGACACTAGATGGCCTCTCACCAAATACCTGTTCTTAAAAAATTCCGATTTCTTCTTATACGCGTACATACGCAAACAAACAGTACAGCAATTCGTATATAAAATGATTAATATTCGTATCTTTTTAGTTTTTTACATTATTTAAAAACAAATTTTTATGATTAGATTTTGGAAAAAGTGCCATATAGGAATTATATGTCGCATATTGAAACGATTTACAAACGAATACGATTTATTTTTAGAAGAAGAATAATATCTTAATGAGGTCTTGACTGCAAGTCTTTTTTGTGAAACTTTTTGTTTTTTAAGCACACATCAAGCACTTTTTAACTTTTACATATGTACTTCATTAATTTACAGCCTTGTGATCTGTCATGCAAACACCAAATTTTTAAGCTGAATAAACCGAAAGTCAAATACAAAATAAATATATGAAATTTTTCCAACCTTTCGTTGATGTTTTTTAAGCAAAATGGAGAGGAAGGATACATACCATATAATACAATTGACAAACAAAAGAAGCAGGTGTGATACAAACCATAAAGTAAAAAGGATGCCAAAGTGTTCATAATGCGTGCAGCTCTTGAGTTGAAGTGTACTTCAAAGCTAAATGCAAGTCTTTCAAAAATTCTTTCACAATTTTCTTCAACTTGCATTCAAAGGAGGAAAGTGCATTCCAAAAACAAAAACTATCTTCTATTGAACAGCACTCGATAATGTGCTGTGCAAGTTGTTTTGAAAGTTTTACCTCCAGTTATCTTTAAATTCTATTTTGTTAATTTTAATTTATTACTAAAATTTATTATTGAGTTAACAGAGTTAACACAGTTTTCCAAAAAACATTTCTATCTTTCTCTCTCTCTCTCTCTCTCTCTCTCTCTCTCTCTCTCTCTCTCTCTCTCTCCCTCTTCTCTCTGCTTCTCTCTTCTCTCTCTAATCTCTAATCTCTAATCTCTAATCTTCTATCTCTTTTAATCTCTATCTCCTATCTCCTTAATCTCTCTCTCTCTCTCTCTCTATCTCTATCTCTCTCTCTCGCTCTCGCTCTCACTCTCTCTCTCTCTCTCTCTCACTCTCTATCTACAATACCTCTACAAAAGATTTAACAATTATCAACAACTATAATGGTTAATAGCTTATAAGTGAAATAAATTTGTTGATAAAAAAATATTAATAAATTAATTGAACTTCTAGTTTTAATAACACAAGATAGGTATGGTCTTGGTTGAAGTTTTTAAAACCTATTTTGCTCTTTAAATTTGTCAAGATTCAATTTAAATATGTGACTGTGCTTTGCATTTGAAATAGTTTCTTCTTCATATTTGATTTTAAATAAATTTAAACAGCATAATTATCTAGTAACTGACTTTAATACGGAAAAATATGTGGCGAGGATGTCAAAGCGAATTGAAAAAAGATTTCAATTAATTTGCAATTAATTTCATATTATTTATTTAAGTTTTGGTAATTCAAATTCTTAAATGTAAATGAATTTATTTGTAGAATTTGCCATTATTTTTATTTTTTTATTTTGTTTTGATTATAATTTTAGCTAATTGAGAACCGCTAATTGTTAAGTGTAAACACATTATTATTCACTTTACTTATATTATCTTTTAGTAACTTTTAGTAACATTGTCATTATTTCATTCCCTATATGTAAAATAATTTTGTTATAATCAATAAATTCTATTTACTTTTTCTTAATAATGTTTAAATTTTTCTTACTTATCATACTTTCTACGTAATTTATTTATTTGTTGCAAATATGTTCATAAAGGTACCCGTGCACATATTTTCAAGTACATCTACTGTGTGCTATAGTTTGTTTGATTTGTTTGCGCCTCCAGATGTATAAAATCGCCAACAACAAAATATTACATACACTTATGGCTTAAATACTCGTACATAAAATTTAATAAGATTTTTTGCTACATGCTACGAATTTTATATTAATTTATTTTATATTTTTCTTGCACTACTTGTATGTTTATAAACGAAATACAAAGACGCACAGGAGTCCTTGTACACTTGTTATATTATAGTTCGTACAATGATTACATCCAATTAGCATATTAAATTAAATAAATATTAAATTACGTATACGAGTATGAAGCAAAATCCTTTTGTCAGGTTTGTGTTTCACACGTGTATATCCTGTTTAAATATTATGATATGCCATTCATTATAAGCTATAAGCCAAGGTATTGCATAAAATCTCTTAAGATTTTATACTTTTATAACATTATATCTTTTACTTTAACTCCAGCAGTGTGCATATGTAAGTTTCTTAAGAAAGTGGCAGGATTTGGCCGAAAGTGAAAAAAAAGTGGATATAAAAAACAAAACACTGTGGTTTAATACACAAAATTTCACATTCCTTCCGTACATGTGTACATTTCTGTCAACTTTATCCATGCATACACAAACATCGTGCAAACAATGATGTATAACTTTCTAAGCAACCTATAATGAAAACTCACATTGTTTGAATCCTGTCATATTCCGGCCATAACTTATTCTGCTCATCTTAA